CAAACCGGGCCTCAAACCGGGCCTCAAACCGGGCCTCAAACCGGGCCTCAAACCGGGCCTCAAACCGGGCCTCAAACGGCCTCTGAGCTTTCACAGGCTGTCTCTTGTATTTCTCCTGGTCTCCAACAGCCTTCCAACATCATCCAGCTCTCCTTTCTCTCTCATATCCTCTATCAACACACAAGCCTTATTCCAGGCTCAAGAGCTTTCTCCTGAACTCTGTCCACTCTCAGCCTTATCGCGAGCTCTCTTCTCTCTCCTGACCTTTGCCAGCCTTTATTGCAGGTGTCTGCCTATATTCTGTGCCTTTGGTAATGCTGCATTAGTGTGGTTTATACTCTATAGAGACGCTGTCCCTTTCCTGTCATGGTAAGATTGCTCTTATTCTTTTTTCCCCATCACCGCTGGGATTCTGTTCTGCTATAGTGGGTCATCAGAGTCTAATTGCCAAATAGCTTTACTTTCATTGCTCTAGTCCAATCATTGCCCTGCTTACCTTCTCCAAGCTAATCAGCCTCCTTCTGCTACGACTGGTATTGAGTTTTTACCCAGGCAGTAACGGGAACACTAAACAGTCAAAGCACATGTGGACGTCACTGCTTCAGGTTCATTCTTTGTCCACACACGTGGATGAATGCTTGGTCTTCACATGCACACACATGCACATGCCTATAAACATACAGCCAGATACAGGCACAAAGCTAAAACACTTGGAGCATCTCTTTCTCATCAGTGCATCACTTTCTTTTTCACTATTTTTAAGAAGTGCAAATTGGACAAAGGAAGAGGAAACGATGGAGGGAGCAGACACATTTGTTTTGTGAGTACAGGGTCACAGCTAACGTTGCACCCATAAATTTTGTATGTATGCATGTGGAAGGCAAGGCAACAATGGCCCTTTATATGGCTGCTAAAGAAATGTTACTCCCTACTGAAGAAAACAAAGACTTTCTAAATAAAAACAGCGAGAGGGAGAAGTACAGACTGGTCCAGGATTCAAGGGTCAAAATAACCAATCAAACTTGTGTCGCTGCTGAGAGGAAACAAAGTGACTTTGGGATGTTCTTAAACACTTTGAAATGCCAAATGTGTTTCAAAGTGTCTGAAAACTAAACAGACTTTAACAAAGAAGCTGATGTGCTGCACAGACTCTCAGTCTGCCTAAATAAAGCAGAACATGAGCGAACGGTTGACAGTTAAGTGATTTCAGGAAGCTTTACATTCAGAAGACCAGCATGTGTTCATGGCGAGCATGCTTCAGCCTTACTGTGGTGTACTAGCGAGAGCTGAGATAAGTGACACTAACAGACTGAATGAAGTGATTAGGAAGGCTGCTCTGTGATTGGCTGCAAACTGGACACTTTTGAAGCTGCGGTGAAGAGGAGGTCACTGAACAAAGTGTTGTGTATTACAGACGACCTGGACTAACCTCTGCAGCACTGACAGACAGGCAGTGAAGCACTTTCTCTAACAGAACGATTGTGCTCCACTCTCACAACGACACCACATACAGTGGAGCAAAAAAGTATTTAGTCAGCCACCGATTGTGCAAGTTTCCCCACTTAAAATGATGACAGAGGTCAGTAATTTGCACCAGAGGTACACTTCAACTGTGAGAGACAGAATGTGTAAAAAAAATCCATGAATCCACATGGTAGGATTTGTAAAGAATTTATTCGTAAATCAGGGTGGAAAATAAGTATTTGGTCACCTCAAACAAGGAAAATCTCTGGCTCTCACAGACCTGTAACGTCTCCTGTAAGAAGCTTTTCTGTCCCCCACTCGTTACCTGTATGAATGGCACCTGTTTGAACTCATCATCTGTATAAAAGACACCTGTCCACAGCCTCAAACAGTCAGACTCCAAACTCCGCCATGGCCAAGACCAAAGAGCTTTCGAAGGACACCAGGAAAAGTATTGTAGACCTGCACCAGACTGGGAAGAGTGAATCTACAATAGGCAAGCAGCTTGGTGTGAAAAAATCAACTGTGGGAGCAATCATCAGAAAATGGAAGACATACAAGCCCACTGATAATCTCCCTCGATCTGGGGCTCCACGCAAGATCTCATCCCGTGGGGTCAAAATGATCATGAGAACGGTGAGCAAAGATCCCAGAACCACACGGGGGGACCTGGTGAATGACCTGCAGAGAGCTGGGACCAAAGTAACAAAGGTCACCATCAGTAACACACTACAACGGCAGGGAATCAAATCCCGCAGTGCCAGACGTGTTCCGCTGCTGAAGCCAGTGCATGTCCAGGCCCGTCTGAAGTTTGCCAGAGAGCACATGGATGATACAGCAGAGGATTGGGAGAATGTCATGTGGTCAGATGAAACCAAAGTAGAACTTTTTGGTATAAACTCAACTCGTCGTGTTTGGAGGAAGAAGAATACTGAGTTGCATCCCAAGAACACCATACCTACTGTGAAGCATGGGGGTGGAAACATCATGCTATGGGGCTGTTTTTCTGCCAAGGGGACAGGACGACTGATCCGTGTTAAGGACAGAATGAATGGGGCCATGTATCGTGAGATTTTGAGCCAAAACCTCCTTCCATCAGTGAGAACTTTGAAGATGAAACGAGGCTGGGTCTTCCAACATGACAATGATCCAAAACACACCGCCCGGGCAACAAAGGAGTGGCTCCGTAAGAAGCATTTGAAAGTCCTGGAGTGGCCTAGCCAGTCTCCAGACCTCAACCCCATAGAAAATCTGTGGCGGGAGTTGAAAGTCCGTGTTGCTCGGCGACAGCCCCAAAACATCACTGCTCTCGAGAAGATCTGCATGGAGGAATGGGCCAAAATACCAGCTACTGTGTGTGCAAACCTGGTAAAGACCTATAGTAAACGTTTGACCTCTGTTATTGCCAACAAAGGTTATGTTACAAAGTATTGAGTTGTATTTTTGTTATTGACCAAATACTTATTTTCCACCCTGATTTACCAATAAATTCTTTACAAATCCTACCATGTGGATTCATGGATTTTTTATTCACATTCTGTCTCTCACCGTTGAAGTGTACCTCTGGTGCAAATTACTGACCTCTGTCATCATTTTAGGTGGGGGAACTTGCACAATCAGTGGCTGACTAAATACTTTTTTGCCCCACTGTACATGGGATAAACTATTTCTTATCCTAGCTTAATTAAGTCTTTAGACAAATAATAATAATAATTATGTTGTTGTTGTTCTTTTTTTTATTTTGTTTGTTTCTAAAATGAATTCTGCAGAGTTTAAGGACTTGGATCCGGACTGTGTTGTTGCTTTCATCCATCCGTTTTCTTCACCGTCTTCAGTTCGAGGTTATGAGTAGGGCCTGTCCCAGGCCAGGTGAGAGGTAGGGTAACCCCAGGATGGGGCGCCGGTCTATTGTAGCTACGTATAGATTGCTATTTTTCCTCCCACAGTGTTTTTCTGTTATTCTAGCTACTTTTGATTTTCGGGGGACTCGTTCAGGATGTAGAGATAAAACATTCTGTTTAAGGACGTCGCAGCACACTGGGAAAGCCTGATGAGGCGTCACACAGTTGGGTTACACTGTGATAATGCTGAGAGGCTACAGGTCAAGTGTGGAACAAAGACAGGTGAAGTAAGACGGCTGAAAAAGACAGTTTACCTTGTTTCCAGAGGTACATTGCTACCAAGCACCCAGCTGTCTTGCAGCGGGACGCTCTCGGGGGGCGTGGTCTGCAGCTCTGCTGGTGATTGGCCGGCCACAGGGGCCGGGCTTCCAGTAGCAGGGGTTAGCTGCCTTGTGGAGTTCAGGGATTGGCCAGTGTGATGTGTGGCGCTCAGGGCTTGGCTAAGAGCTGTTACTGAGGGTTGTTGGCGATGAGGCGGTGGTACCGGAGGAAGGCTGGAGTTGTGATGATTGGACGGTTGCTCTGTCAACAACAGAAGAGAGAACAACTCATCTTTACACACGTGTAAATCAGTGGCACTAACATTGTTGTCTTTTTAGCTGACTGGAAGTTTCCTTTCCCCGAGTACTGCTGTCGTTATAATCCCTGTAAATCAAACGGATACATTTAGATCATATTTCACGTCACAGTCTCACCAAACAGTCTCTCATCCGAAGAAATCCGTCCTTAACGAGAGAAAATAATGTTAGCCATAGCCCGTTTTTAAGCAAACAAAGCAAGAACTGGCAAAAAAGCCAGCGCTTCTTAACCTAAGACAGTCGGTCCGTCTGAAGAAGGTCAGAATTCAAAATGTGATGTTATTATTATACAACGTCTGGATGATTGATATAAAGGCAAATTTCCCAGATGATGCGGTTAAGGTTGATGAAGAGTTATAATGTCGATTTTTTAATATCACTGGATGTGAGTGCAGCGTCAGTGAGAAGTGTAACTAAACACTCGGCTAGAATGAATACAGCTCAGTGACTGGCCTTCACAAAGCTCTGCTCCGATTCTCTAAAAATATTTGCTCAAAGCTGACCCGGGTTCAACTTTTCCTCACTGTTTTTGTCCCTTTGCTTTTCAACTCCCCTTTCCGTCCTCAGGGTACCGAGAAGGAAATGAATGGCAGTCTTGGAATTTGATTTGCATAAAGAGCATCAGATCTCCATTTCCCAGCCCTGCTGTTATTCTTTTTCTGCTGCACTCAGCGAGGAAAACAGAAAGCAAAGAGAGAAGCGAGGGATACGTGCAGGAGCAGCTCTTCCTCTCGCTGCTTCGTGTTCTGTTTGCCATCTTAATAACTGTTCCAGTTATGCAGACTTTACAGGCTGAACGCTGAAAACCACATACGAAAAGTCTGAGTTTCATTATGACTATTTAGGCCTCAAGACTATTATTTGTAATCACTGCACCTCCTACAAACCCATACATTTAAAGACAATGTGCAAATATTACTGTGTGTGTGATGGGCAGGGCTAGTTTCCAGTTCTGCACACAAAAACTGTCTCGGCTTTTGTGTGACACGATCAATACACTGTTTAATGTGTTTAATGGCAGATTCTGGGATTTGCTTTTGCCAATCATTTCTTTGTACAACTCCAAATTCATGTCTAATACATCATATTCATAATGACAATAATCACTTTCGTGTAACATGTAACACAAAGACGAAAAACCAGCATCATTACTCAAAACGCATTAAACTCAATATTAATCAGTGCGTCTAAAAGACTCGGCATAAATCACCAAGCAGGCCTGTGTTTCACCACCAAGTCAGCAACATCCAATCAGAATACTGCACATCTCAGTCAGTACTCCCACTTTTTAGTTAAATATTGTCACAGCTGAAAATAACATTTTGGAGCGTGAGGGAAAATCTGGTCTTTCCCAGCTGATGGCACCACTGGTCAGTTTAGACCCCGTGATGAGACGCTCGTGCACTTTCACTATAGCACCCCTAAAGAACTCATTAGTAGGAATAACAAAATAAAGTAGCATCAGCAATAACAAAGTGTTTTAGTATTAGTCTCTGACATTGTCGTCTAATTATATAATAGCCCAGCGTTTCTGTTGGAGAGGGTACAGGTTAACAAAAACAGGTTTAAGCGCCCAGTGCACACGTACAAGTAAAGAAGATGAAAATGCTATTCCACAACACAAGGTTTTGCTCATTGTGTGCAAAGTGTTAGCTAATGTAATGAAATGTAACCAACGGCCAGCAGCAGTCTATGTTGTCTATAGTTGCTAGTGCTGTCAGCGTTAATCTGGTTAAAATGACGTTAATGCCATAACCGCATTAACGCAGCAAATCTCCGTTAGCGAGTTAACGCGGATCACCCCGTGCGAGGGCTGCAACACGTTAGTGCGGTTAGCTCGTTAGCTCGTTAGTGCCGTGCAGTTGTAAACCCTGTTTATGTTTACCTTTGGTTTTATTTAACGTTCACCTTTTTGTTTTACATTTCTGTTCCCATCATTTAACACTGTCCTTGTTGTTTTGTGTTGTAATGTGACCTTGCACGTTTTGAAAGGTGCCAAGTAATAAAATGTATTATTATTAGTATGTTATGAAAGGTAATCCATACCCTGCTCTTATGATAACTTCAGTTTTTTTATGTTGTTTTTTTAGTTGAATATCACATGTCTGTGTGTGACTTCAGTGCAGGAGGACAGAGAGCTGATAGTGAGTCAGGTGGGAAAACATCAACTGTTGACTCAGGTATGACAATTAAAGTGTGCACCAGGTTGAACTGGGGTTTGCAAAAGGGAAAACAGTATGTTTGCAAGTAGCATATTCCAACGATCTGCTAAACACTGTGTGCAAGACACTGTGACTGGAACACAGTTCACACAGTCCAGACAGACTAACCAAGGATACGATATCTGCACTTCCTACTCCCACTCCACGAGCTGATTTCTCAGCACTTCTAATCGGGTACATACTAAATACAGCACTGTGCACCACTCCATCACAATGACTTCACATTAAACCACCACAATGTCCTGTTTTTGTGTGAATGTTTGCTGTTTTTGCTGCTGTGCTCATAGGAAACTGTAGCTGTCTCCATTTTACATGCATCTCTCTGAGCTAGAGGCTCGCGGCTTTTTTGTGGTGGTTTGCGCATGTGCAGAAACCTTTCATCCTTTATGATAAGATGATTTCAGACCAGTGTGCATGTCAAGCTGACCCTGGCTCTGCTTTCACTGCTTTGATCAGTTATGGCCTGTACTGTGTGTAGCATTACCCAGTAAACAGGCGAGTTTCCTCCCAACTTTCATGAACTTTCATGTGAGATGTAGAGAAGATGAGTTTGTGAAAAAGTTGTTCACTGCTCTAGTCTATTAGGAAGTAAGTGAAGTTTATTTATATCGTGTCTTTTACAGATACAACATTCATAAAGTGCTGAACAACAATTCAGACATGATATCAACAAAGAACCAAACAAAAAACAAACACATACATAACAAAAGAATAACAAGGCCTGATTAAAACAGAAAAGTTGTTAATTTTTTGTTTTTTAAAGAGTCCACAGAGTTACGCGGCGCTGGAGCGGTAAACTGTCCCAGAGCTAGAGACTACAGACTGAAACGCTCGGTCCCCTCAAGTCTGGACTCTTGTCTGAACAGCTAATAGGTTTTGAGTTTGTGAGTGGATACAGCGAGCAGCAGTGTGTTTAACAAGAAGTTGAGACAAATAGTCTGCAGCGCGTCCATTTAATGCTCTGTATGCAAGTGTGAAATCTTAAAACGAGTTCTAAAATCAATGGTGAGCCAAAGTAAAAACAAGAGTAACACAGCGGTAATGTGAGCTGTGTCTGGGTGCAGCAGTTTGTGCTGCTTGGAGGAATAACAGAGGTGATTTCTTTAAGCCAGTAAAAAGGGCATTACAATAATCTAAACACAATGATACAAACACAAGAACAATTTTGTCCATTTCAGAGGAGGAGACTACGGATCGCAATTTGGTAATGTTCCTGAAATGAAATGTGAGATCGAGTTTATATGTGAAAGTTCAATAAGGACTCAAACATTACGCTGCGATTGCGAACACTAGTCAGCAAGAAGAAGCAATCAGTTGACTTGTGTGCATATCAGGAGGAGCAATAACCGTGGCTTCAGTCTCAGAGTTTAAAACAATTGTTGGAGAGCTGGTCACTAATCCCACATACAGAGTCAGCCAGGGCAGACAGCCTGTGCAGCTGGCGAGGCCTAAAAGACAAGTAGAACTGAATGTCATACATAAAAATACTAAGAAATGCACCTAACACCTAAAAACAGAATAACAATCGACCCAGGATGGACCCTGAGGAACCCCACAGCAGTGTCTGCTCACCCTAACAAGGATGTCCTCCTAGATTAACTGGAGGGAAACCAGTTGAGTGATCCCAGCCATAACCTAATTCTGGTCAACAGTATCAAAGGCACTGAGGTCAAGCAACATGAGCACAGAGCATCAATTTCCTGCATCAGATGCCATTAAAAGATCATTATAGAGCTTTAAAGGAGCAGTTTCAGTGGAGTGCTGCTTTTAAAAAGCAAAGGACAGAAATTTGTAGTGTGCGTAATAAAGTTGTCCAAATTGATTTTCGGCAACTTTTTCTGATAATTTGCTAATGAATGGCAACTTTGAATTAGGCTGGTAATTGCAAGCAAAGCTGCTTTAATGGAATTACCTCAGCGGAGCACAACGTTGCCTCAGCGAGCAGTTAGTGATGGAGAACAGTAAAGGACCAATGCCTGTGAGACATCCAAACAGGAAGGAAGGAGGTCAGCTCTCTAAAGAGGGTGATGAAGGTTTCATCTTAACGATTACAATAAGTCATTCAGCGTATCTGGAATGACTTACGATCAACCTGATCCATAATAGGAAGACGATATTACGCAGGGACCAAACTGGACCGAGTGCAAAGTCCTCACATTGTAATAAAGCAAGGAAGACTGGAAATTCTTAGTCACAGTACCACAAAAATTTGGAATAATACTGATTTTCACCTGAAAAGAAACTGTCACGAACACACGGCAGACCCGTCCACACATTCATGCTTTTCAGCATCTTTATTCTTACTCTCTGGTTGCTGTTTACAGCCGGGGTGGTCAACTCGAGAGCTACCGTTTGATTCAGCTGTGTTGGAGCGCATCTAAAAGCTGCAGGACAGTAGCTCTCGAGGCCTGGAGTTGGACACCCCTGGTTTACACTGTCATGACTGCAGCTTTGCAGTTCGCAGCCACTCATATACACCAACAACAACATTATTCAGGACCCAGCACAGACATTAAGCTGGCGAGGCATGGCTGCAGATGCCATGTAGGTGCATCCGCCTCCCCTGCAGCAGCATCTCAGACCACGCCCCGCCACAGGAACCAACACATTTCAACTTTTGGGTATCGACAGGAATTACCCATCTTACGTATCATCTCAATACTGACTTCAGGACAAGTACTTTCCATAAGAGCAACAGTCCAACATTACTTCACTTCTTTAG